GAGCGCGTATGTTTTGGATTAGGCCAACCTGCTAACTCAAACATATCCAGGTTAGGTTGAACCAGCTTCGTAGTACAGGCCTCAGGTTTCTCCGACGGAAAACACAGACACTCATCACCGAGGTCACAATATCAATCGATCCAGCAGAGCAATAGCCTATAGGCAAAACACAGAAGATCAACAAAAGATATGACATAAAATGAACTAGATGGTCAACTTCATTCATTTTCTTTCCGTTTTACTCATTTGAATCGCTATACGCTCCTCTCTCTCGTCTCCTCTTCACTACAGGGTGAAAACTACACTTTTCACGGCACACTTACAGCCAATCAGCTCTCTGAATTATGAGATGACGTTTGGTGGGGATGCCAGCACAGTGCCCCTATGGTGATTATTTTTTTTGCCGCACACATTGAATAGAAAAATACTCTGAGCATGTGCAGTGTAGTTTTTACAGCACCCATTCACTTAGACCAGGGGTTTGCAACCTTTTTGGCCAAAAGAGCCATTTTGCCCCCTTTTCCACCAATTTCTTTTGTCTGGAGCCTCAAAACGTATTTGATAGCTTGATAGCTTATAACGTTGTATATATATTGTTACATCAAAGACAACAACTACAGTTTTTTTTTCATTTATTATTTATTGCATTGTAGAAAACTGTTTACCTCTAATAATAAACAAAGAACTCTTATAAGGAGGATAAAAAAAAAAATACACAGGCCTACTTTAAAATAAATCAACACAGCACTTAGGGAGTCCTCTGCACATTTGAAGAAAATTAATAGAATTAAAATGGGCCCACTTTGAAATAACTAAAACAAATAGCTGCACCCTAAAACGAGTTAACTGATTGAATGATGACTGAAGATCGTCAGCTGTCTTCCTCTCCCGTGTTGTTCCTCAATACGTAAAGGCTGCAGCACCTGCTTTGACAACTTCTCTCCACATATCAAACATACTGGTAAACCAGCATCGCTTGCTGCGAACGCAGATAACTCTAACCACGCAGAATTAAACCCTGTGTTCCTCCGATACTTGTCTTTTCTTTGATGTATCCATAGTTCGCTCATCGAGCCGGGGGTCAGGTTATTCACCTGCAGGAAAAGGCGCTGGTGCGGGACCGTAAAACCGTTTTTTATTTATGTGTCACAGTATCACCTCAAAATACAAGATACGAAACATTTTCAACCGTGCAACAAAATATAAATATTCCTACAAATATTTTTATTTTATTTCCTTCTTATTTTTGTCTAAGCTCAAGGGAGCCAGAGCAGAGGGCTTAAAGGGCCGCTTAAAGGGCCGCTTAAAGGGCCGCGGGTTACCGACCCCTGACTTATGGCGCGTTTCCACTGCAGCGGGGTAGCCCCGTTTAAGCGTCCCTAAGCGTCCTCGCTCTGGCCTCGGGCTGCCTCGCTGGCCGGCCCAGGCCGTGGCGCATTTCCATTACAGTTTAGGACCTGGGGTAGCAACGCAGTGTAGGCGGCGCGATCGGCTTTGTTTTTGTTCACATTTCGAGTTGTTCCGTCGAGCTCCCGCTGGATTTGATCATCCCCAATGAGATGTAGGAACGTCGTAGCCTCCTCGGTCGACCACGGTGTGCTTTTCTTATTAGACGTAGCCATTTTTGTAGCTCATCCGTTTACAAAATGATGTTTATAAAAATGCTGCAAGCTTGCTTCTAGATATATATGCGACGCTAGGGATGAACTCGCGCGCAATCTTGTGACGATTCTCTCTGACCAATCAGCAGTCGAGAGTGTTGACGTCACTAGTTCAGCCCTGGCCCTGGTCTGAGGGAACCACGATTTTATGAGGCCGGAAAAAGAGGGAAAAAGTACCCGCTGGCCGGTACTAGGCTATATGGAAACGCCACCAAAAGCCTGAGGACGGTTAAGGACGCTTAAACGGGGCTACCCGCTGCAGTGGAAACGCGCCATTAGACAGTGAGGCTCTTTTCACACCGCCCAGAGTCCGACTGGTGCTGCGTCATTGCGTCATAGTTTGCGTCATGACGTAACCGTTTGCGTGCCTGCTTCATAAAGCCAAACTGCGCGGAAACCCGACAACAACAACAATGGCCGATTGTGCTCCAGCTTCCTCTGTACCTCTTCGGAAGACCAGATTCCCAGTAGGTAGCTGGTCTCTTCAGTGGACCACTGCTGCTTGTTAAGTTTCTCCATCGTTGTGTACAAACTGGATACAACGCCGGCTTCTTGTTGTTGTTCAGGAGTTGATCCCGCCCCTGCCCCCGCCTCGACGTAAGCGGTGCTTTTGCTCTGGCCGGACAATTTTTTGGTGCTTGAAACGAACCGGATTCCGGAGCTAAGAGGCTGCTCCGCTGCAGTGTGAAGAGGAAAACCCGGTGCTTTTCAAGCTCCAGCTCCGAACTGGCCCTGAAACACCATTGGTGTGAATGAGGTATGAGAGAGAGGGGCTAGATCGGGGCTTGACCATGGGACTTGACCCACGTCGCTCAAAAAGGCTCAATAGGCACACTGTAGACACTAATTAGAAGAACACAGTCTAAAACAGCAATGTACAGATGAATCAGATGATTAAACATGATCTTAAAATATATTTTAAGATGTATTTCTTTTGCATTTATTTGCATTTTTTTGGAATTCTTATTTGAATTACTTTCTGCTGACACTGTGCCCCACCTGCCCCTAATGACCAGTCGCCACTGTCTGTGAGGTGCACTGAATAGTAAGTTATGGGATTGTTTTTGGCATGAAAAAGGTTGTTTTTAAACCTGCTGAATATTGGCTTTAAAGGAACATACCACTATTTTTGCATGTTTAAAATTGTGTACCAATAACATTACATCACTGCTCGTCAATACAAAATATTTTCAAAGTAGCTTCTAATGTTAGTCAAGACGCTGTTGGTTGACACTCTAAGAGATTATTATGCGGCCATGCAATGCAAACATTTCATATAATCCATGCTTTTCTAAAGCTTTATGCAACAATAAGATTCCAACAATAATATAACCTAATGATAGTCATATAAGCTCACCATTATCTCTTTTCCTTTCTCATAACAGGCCCCCACCCTTTCTTGGTGGTCCTAGTGGTTCCTGCAGGTCCAAGTCCTACTACCACATGGCCTGCAGTCCCCCAGCTCGCTATTCTGACCACATCCAATCTGACCCCCTGTACAGGAAGACCCTCCGCTCCATACATCCGATGGAGGCGGCAGGCATCATCTCAGCACAGAGTTATGGGGGGCGGCGCGGCCACACCACCCGCTACGTGATCGTCAACGAACACGACCCCAGGAAGAAGCTCCTGCGCTCGGCCACACGGATCCCTCGCCACTTCCTCATGGAGGAGCCCGCAGAGATCCTGGAGCTTTACCCGCGCAACATCAAACGCTACGCCCCCCGCAGCGCTCACCACCAACCACACCCTCACCGCTCACACCCATCACAGCAGCATCTCAGTGAAGAGGAGGAAGAGGAGGAGGATGGGAAAGGAAAAAGAAGGATATCGTTGGGGAAGGCTCATCGGCCCAGATCCCTCTCTGACCTGCACCAGCCTGCACACTTCTACATCGGGGACCGCGGGGAGAGACACAGGTCTAAAGACAGCCGAGGAAGATATGGAGTGCATGAAGAGGATGAAGAGGAGGATGGTGAGGAAGAAATAGACTGGGGAGATTTAGAGCCACACTCCCGGTCTCAGAGCAGTGTGAGAGGAGCAGACTCTGTTCTGGTGCGAAACAGGCGTCACATCCACTCCCCAGGAAGACCCTGTCCCTCCCCGGTCAGGAGCATGCACATGGAGTCTCATGTGAAACCCAAGACCAGACCGAAGCTGGAGCCCCCTCTGACCGAGTCGGACTCGGCCTCGCTGGCCTCCAGCAGCGATCAGCAGAACAGCAGCACTGACCAGTACATCCAGGTCATCCACAACAAGGACCACTATCTCAAGTCAGAGGCCAGGCAGGGAAAGCAGGCCAAAAAGAAGTCCAAAGCCAGCTTTGATCTGAATGTCACTGAGTCAAAGGACCTGGTCTATTCCAATGTATGACAGATTTGCTAATATTTATGTGTAAAAATGTTTCTCAAAATATCTTAGAGAAATACCCTACTAGGGCTTAATACATTTTATTGAGAGCACAGAGAGTATATTATAAATGTAATTTGTTTATTTTATGTGTGTGGTCTTGTATTTTGAATTGGTTATTTTAGCAATGTGTAACAATCAAAACACACTGAAGTTATTTGTGTAACATGAACAGGAATACAGCTTACACGATAACACTTGCTTTATTTTCTGTTTGCATCTCTCAATTAATTAATTAATTATTATTATTATTATTATTATAATAAACAGTATTTGATTTGACTGTACATTATTAAATTGTACTTTCTGTTTTTGTTTATCTCTATTTTACATGTATAGACTCTTGCATTCACTAACAACATGTTCTGCAACATTCAGCTTATGATATTGTATAATTCATCTGCATTACTTACACATTGGTTTTGCAACATACTCGTGCACTATTTTATTTCTGTCATTATTGGAGGAGCCTGGGACTTTTTCATTGCCATAACTACACTGCAGCTACTGTGTATATGACAATAAAGCCTTTGAATCTTGAATCGTAAATCTTACAATAAAATACAATTGTTATTCCTCTCAAATGGATCGGGTCGTAGTGGGGATTTCCTCATTTGTAGAATGACATGACAGACCACTACCTTTCCCAGCTTGCTTTGCGAGAATTCCAGCTGGTGCTGGTGATCGATGTATGAGGAGACCGGAAGTCAAACAGACTGCAAGAAAGAGTCGGGACGCGGCTCTGCCTTCAAGATAAGATACCTGGAACAAGTCAGTTACTAAAATATGTTGCTTTTTACAAACTACACGTAATATAATTGAATAAATCACTGTATGTTATTCACAATATAGTAAAAGGTTTAGTAACATGTTCATAAACCTTAATTTCGTGAAATGCTTTTTTATTTTTGAAAGCTAAAAGCGGAAGTTATTGCTACTGGATGATGTGACACATCGCTAGGACATTTCCTTGTATTTCAGGAATTCCATTCAATCATTTTTCGGATTTGATTTTTGTTCCAGAGGCAGGTGTGGGCGGCTGCGCGGCCACAGAGGTGTTGTAGAGAACAGTCCCAGAGTTGTCACAACCGGGAGCTAGCTATTTTTTAGTAAACGATGCGGGCATCGCTTAGCACCTTTCATTCATTTTGGCTAACGCTAGCTTTGTAGTGGCGGCTCCACATCCTAATGTTAAGTAACTCGCCACCGCTGCATTTGCGTGACTGACCCAGCTACAGTACAGTGTGACTCAGATTGTCTGTTGAATTGAAAGAAAACGGTATTGTGTCAAACAGTAAGCGACAATAACGTCAGCTGGTCTGAGAAAGGTTACTTTTACTATCTATTATGGATTATGAACATAAAGCGAAGGCAGTGGGGGATTGTCTGATGGGCTACAAGACGGATGAGTCCGGGTGGAAAGTCTGCAAAAAATCGGTAAACATTACGTTGTTATTGTCTGATATGATTTTGTACGACATTAATGGACATGGCCCTGATACCTGCTGTTCTCAGATAGTGTTTTAACAGTCTATGGTTTTAACATACAGAACAATGACGTTAGCTTCAGTGATACATGTCACTGGATGTGGCCTTGCTCACCGAGGTAGACCTAACGTTAGCTTACAGACAGGACAGCTCTATTTCATAAATGTGAGGCTTTACTGTTCACTATTCCATCCTTTAACCCGTGTTGTTGTTTGTTCTAACCAATGCTGGAAAGTAACGAAGTACATTTATTCTAGACTTAAGTAAAAACATGGAGGTACTTGTGAATATGTTCACATTATGCTACCTTACATTTTGGCCCCACACACTTTGTAAGGCAAACTTTTTACTGCATAAGTAACTTACCACTTTGAAAAACTATGTTGGTTATAAAATATATAAAACAACTAATACATTGTGGTATAACATTATAGGTTAAGCTAACCAGCAGTATATCATTTAGTTAAAAATAAACCCCACATTTATCTGCTGCAAGATTGAAGGGAATGACACATTAATGCATCAATAATTATTATATAATATAAGATTGAGAAATGGGCTATTACTACATAATGATACTTTGGTACTTTAAGTATATATTTGTAATACTTTTGTACTTTTACTCAAGTTACATCTTGAAAGCAGAGTTTTTGTTTGTAACTGAGGTGTTTTACAATGTAGAATTGATGCTTTTGCTTTACTAGTAAAATATCTGAGTAATTCATGTTCAAATGATGCTGGACAGAATAGCTCAGACAAGCGATGAATGGATCATTTAATGTTTGGCACTTGATGAAACAAAGTGTTTATAGATGTCATAGTGGTTTAGGTTAGATTTTAAGTTATTTGTTACAGCAACATTAGGAACTAGACATTGTTCATCAATTAAAAATAAACATTAACAGTAAATGTATAGATATCAACAGAAAGATGAATATCTATCGAGTATCTAAAGAGTACACACTACACAGAATAAGCAAGAATACACAAATGGACCAACCTACTAAGTAAAACTTAGGACACTGAATACACCATATAGTGATGTAGAGAGAGCAGTTTTGAAAGACACACTCAGAAGTTATACAGTTATATATCAGTAAAAGTAATAATTCAGCAGTACAGAAAACTATTTCGTACGTAAACATCCTGCATTCAAAATGATAAATAAAAGTACAAAAATATTAGAATAATTTCGGAGCCCCTAAAGCAGTGGTTCTCAAACTTTTTCTGTCAGGCCCCCCCTTTGGAGAAAAAAAAAAGTCGGGCCCCCCCAACACAAATAGTCAGGATCAGTGGCGGCGCCAGAGATTTATTTTGGGGGTGCTGTGGGGTAGCTTGACGTTTCATAGAGGGTGCTCAAACATTTAGGGTTTCCCATTAATGTACCGGGAGCTACAGTTGAATTTTCTACTGCAACAATCCCCACGCACATACACAGTGTACCCACAACTGTTACAATGAAGGCTCGATAATCAGCTCACGGCATATAGGTGTAAGCAGGGGTAAAGTGCTATTTGTATAGGTGGTGTGTGGACCTCACATAGGGGTCCACACACCACACCGCTCCTCCGGGAAGATTTTTAAATATTGAAGTTCAAAGCATCAATCTGGTGCACTTTGAGAGCAACGTGAAGAGATCTATGGATCCATCTCTCAACACCCATATGAAACAGAACTGTAAACAGATTTACTTTTTCTTTATGGATATTTTACAAATCACTCCCCTTTTAAACTTTATTCTTGTTTTACTGTCATATAGTATTTCATACCTGTTTTTAATGTATTCTCTTATGTTTTGTATAACTATAATGATCATATAAACGTGTGCCTCGGAAATAATTGTTTACATTAATGGTGACCAAAACGTTTGAGACCCACTGAGATAACACTGACAGAGTCCTTTAGCTCACTGAGTCTCTCAGTCTGACAGGAGAGGACTCTCCTCCACCTTGTTGTTGAAAAAACTCCTTATATCCGTTAGCGTAGTTCGCTAGCACCAGAAGCTAACATCAACGATCTCCGGTACCGGTGCGCTCTCTCTCTCGCGCACACAAAATGGCTCGTTACACACACACACACACACACACACACACACACACACACACACACACACACACACACACACACACACACACACACACAGAGCCGAGCTTTAATGAAACACAGAGACCCAGACGTAATAGTACTGTACTGCATCATATTATTTTCGAATGAATAATTTTTCAAATTATGATTTTGTTTTTTTTAATCTTTTTTTGTTTGTTTTTTTATAACCATTTTTCCTCCTGGTCTCTCGCGCCCCCCCCTGGCATGCCTCTGCGCCCCCCACTTTGAGAACCACTGCCCTAAAGGGACATGGGGAGAAAAAAAAAGAGGGAGAAAAACAAAAGTCGTGATAACGGGTTAGTTTCTTGTGCGCACGAGAAACTAACCCGTTATCACGACTTTTGTTGTTGTTGAGAAAGTTACCGGTGCGCCAAGGAGGAAGTGGAGCACAGAGGAGACAACCATTTCATTGCAGACTGTTATGTTTACGTGGGGAATGACAGTGAATACATTATTTGAGATATATTTCAAACTCATACTTCATTTTAAGGACATTTCGGCCAAGTTAAAACGTAGCAGCCTGCGGTCACTCCAGGAGGCAGCGGGACGTGTAACTCGAGAAGAGCAGCACCAGCACGCAAAGAGCTTTAACGCACCGCCTACACTGTGTTTACCTTCACCCGAACAGCTAAAGAGTGAACGCAGGCTGCTACATGTTAACTACACACACACACACACACACACACACACACACACACACACACACACACACACACACACACACACACACACACACACACACACACACACACACACACACACACACACACACACACACACACACACACACACACACACACACACACACACACACACACACACACATCGAACTGCCCGATTACTCCCCTTTTATTAGTTTTATGAAGGAGATGAACGAGAAACGAACCCATTATCCCGACTTTTTTTCTTCTCTCTCTCTCTTACTTTATTAATTTCATGTCCCTTTAGGGGCTCCGTAAATAATATATATTATATCACTGCTTTATATTTTGTGATACATAAATGTGTATATCAATTTATTTTGCAGCTGGTTAAGGATCAGATAACACAGCTTGTTATTCTGCCAGGTTTTTTAAATTAGAATATTCATTAAAACCATCACATTTGGTTTTTATAGCGCAATAACACAAATTGCATATTTGAAAAGTGAAGTGTTAGTCAGAACTCTTTCATCCAAATGCACCTAATCCACCCTGTCACTTATGAATTAGCTTCATCGGCAGTGCAGGTTAGGGCCATGTAATAATAACAACACATGGTGTTTATAGCGCTTCTCCTGGTGCTCAAAGACGGTTAGTGACAATGATGCTGAACACAATCTGTGGACAACGGTCCCTGGAGCGCCATGATGGTTCACTACCAGCTTCAACAATGATTTGCTATTGTCCTCTTGATCATGCTAGCTCCTCAAGTAAGAAATGAATAGTTGTGTTGTTTTTTAAATGTGTGTGTCAGAGGGAACAGCATCCATCAGGGCCGTGCATCACACTAAGGTTTATGTGGCTGACTGTGTACTGTTTTCTCCGGCAGAATGACGTGGTTGTGTCTTGGCGTCCCTCGTCTGAGTTCCCTGGGAATGTGTGAGAAAGCTCAAATTCTCTTTTTCTTTCTCAGTCTCAGGCTTGATCATGTCAAAATGAAAAAAATAAAATTGTGAAAATGGCTGTGTTGAGGTTCTCAATTTCGTGGTGTAAAAGTGATATAACTGTGTTTTTCCCATACAAGCAAATTACAAACCTAAAAATATAGAATAAAATACAGGCCTCATTCTCTTCTTAAACAACATGATTACATTTGAACATATCATGATAACGTTCTAATTTACCTTTACCCTGTACTGATATTTACTGAATAGAGCTTTGACACATTCTATTATATATCAATGGAACCCAGCTCTGTTAGCTTTAGCTCTACCTGTTTTTTCTTCAGTACAGTAGGTGCCAAAAGACTAATGCCATCTCATTGTCCTGGGGACAATAGAGAGGTGCAGTGATGACGTGTTGTAGGCCAAACCCAGCCCTCAAAAAAAAGCAATGGGACTTTCCCATTTGATTTCGGAATATTGCAGATAATACGTTGTTGTTGGTGCTTACACCATTTGTTCAGCAGGATAATCTCCACATATTAACACCACTTTGTGATTTTTGTAGCATTAATGCAATCACCAGAAGTAAAAAGCTAACGTTAAGGCGGCTATAAACGAACTACATCACGGTACATGTGGTCATATCACCAGCGCTAAGCTAAAGGTGGCTAATGTTCGGCGTGTGACGTTTAGTAATCTCTCTTATGGCGCATTTCCACTGCATTTTTTGTTGCGTTTCCACTAGGGGTAGTTCTGGCTAATACTGTTTCACAGTTTTTCTGGCTCTCCAAAATCCAGGTTCTTTCCAGGCCAACAACCGGGCTGAATATGCTAAACTAGAGAGAGAATCGCTGGCAAGGGGGCTACAACTACAACAAGATGAACATATTTGACCGTGATTTAATTGTAATACACGTTTCTAAATGATGCCGAAGTAACAACATACTGATACCGGTTAGTAAAAACCATGAATTAATGCTTTGACAAGTCTGCAGACAGACGGTAGGCGAAAAACCCTTTAAAATTCGTGTTTTCTGAATGGAGATCGGCTACACTCACAACAACGGCCTACAGACATAAATAAACCAGCGACTGTATTCGCCATGACACAGGCAGTCTGTGGTTTGTACTTGTTTAACTTTTGTCTAGTTTCTGAACAGATATGAGGAGCTGTGAGCTCTGAGTGCTAAGAGCTAACGGCTGTGTTGTTTTTCTGTGGTTCTCATTGAAGATGACGTCACGACTCCGCCTACACTGCGTTACTATAGTTACTGCCCCAGCTACTAAACTGTAATGGGAACGCAGCATAAAGTGAGCCTGGCCTACCAAGGCCTAACTTTACCGTACTAAGCCGTGCGAGGCCCTAAGTGGAAATGCGCCATTAGAGACTTGATAGCAACCACTGTTTTTATGGCACATAGAACCTTCAGACATTGAACAGTGGGTTATTTACTAACATATTCTGTGTTGTAGAACATTTTCAAAAAACAATTCTAGACGAGGGAACAGAAAGTGATCAAATGTTAACGAATTTCCGAGTTTTAGGACTCAATCCACTCTATCTGGAGGCCACTGAGTAAGCTGTTGTTGCCATGTTAAATGCCAAACCCTGCTCGATATACCTGTGGATGTATTTAGTTAAAAGTCAACCATGTTTTAGTTCTTTCAAGGCTTGGTGGTGTAGAATTAAATAATCGACTGTTTCTCTGTGTGCCTGTCCAGTAATGTATGAATGTAATTAACAGCAGTCATGCCTTTAATAATGTGATCTCCTGACTGTGTTGTGTCCTTCCTGCAGTTACAAGGGGGAGGGGGTTATCAGTGGCAGTCCGGAGAAAGTGTGGGAGTGTCTGAAGCCCGTACCCAATGGCATGAGAGTCAAATGGGACAACAATGTCAAAAGGTTTGAGCTTGTGGAACAAATCACAGAGGTGTGTTACTACTTTCTCTCTTCTGATTACAGTTATTATTCATGATCAATATGAATGAGTTAACCCACATTTTTTGATATCCCATCAAAGAGGGAATATTTTAAAGCTTGACTAGATGTCTTAAAGGTCCCTTGTTACACTGCTCTTGGAGGAGATTCAGTGGATAAGGTGGCAGGGGAGTTACCTTGGTTGGTGATTGGCTAATGGTTACCCAAGCCAACAAATCGTTATGACATCACAAAGTGGCCAAAATCTGATCAGCTCATTACAGGTTTTTATAGAAATGGATCAGGACAAAAAGAGAGAATCTTTGTTCCTGAAACTTTCAGAATCTCTTTACACATGCTGATGTATAAAATACAGAAAAAGTGGATTTTGCATAATAACAATATTGTAACCTTTAAATAGCAGCAAAACTGTTTGAAAACTGTTTTAAATGTTGTCAATAAATTGCAGGTATGCCTCATAGTTTGATATTCCATAAGGTTTTATACCAAAGTACACAAAAGGAAGAAAAGAGGCGACAGGATTCAGTGTGTATTATTTAATAAAAGAAAAAATCCTTGCATGAAGCAGGTTTAAAGTAAAGTGATATGAAGTTAGTTTTACTTTATCTTTGTTTGAACATCTCCTTGTTCCCCACTCAGCACATCTCTATCTGCCGGACGGTCACGCCCTCAGCAGCGATGGGCATCATCGCTCCACGAGACTTTGTCGATGTTATTTTAATCAAGCAATACGAAGACGGCACCATCTCATCGAATGGTGCGTAAAAACGTTCTCTTTTCTCCTCCACTTCCTGTGCTGGCGTCCTATTTAAAGTAATTGTGCCATACAGCAGAGGCTCTTTGAACCTGAGGTAGTGATGTTGAAGAAAGGCTGTCTGAGGTTTAACTATGTTGTGAATACACTACATGTCTCAACAGAGTAGTGAAGGGTTCCTTTTTTTATATCTGAGATGACAATTTAATCAAATACAGTGGCAAGTGAACCCTTTGGAATATCCTGCATTTATGTATACATTTGTTCTGAAATATGTCTGATCTTCACCTGAGTTCCAAAAATCAACAAACACATTAGCGCACAAATAATCGTTTTGTTATTGTCTATATTGAATCATTTTGCGAACATTCACAGTGTGGGTTGGAAAAAGGCATGTTAACCCCTAGAATTCAACAAAAACGATTTGAGTTAACAAGTTCATGCATAAAACCAAGAAATTCCAAAGGGTTCCCTTTCTTTTTCCTGCCACTTTATGTTTGATAGAAAACGAAGGTTAAGGAGCAGCTTTGTATCCCAGTGGTAACAGCGCTGGCCACATTACAGTCCCTGTCGTGCATTGTTACATTAAGGCTAAAAAGACAAATTGATTATTAAAAGAAAAAGGGGTGAAATGTGTGTCCTGGTTGTGAGGAGGGCTTTCTCCACCATGCCACCTGGGTTTTCTAAAACATCCACCTGTAATCTGTATCATTCTCCTCATGTGTAATGTAAATATAAACACACAAACAGACACACCACATACACACTTTACACACATTACGTCTTTTTTTTATTTAACTGTAAGTGAATACAGTTAAGAGCAGTAGAGGTGGGGAGAGGCGGGGCTATTGCGTCATTGTTATCAGGAAATGATCCTATAGAGCAGGGGTGCCCACACTTTTTTGGCTGGTGAGCTACTTTTGAAATGACCAGCTCACCGAGGTCTACCAACCAAAAATAAAATCCCAAATTGCAAGGGTTGCTGAATAACACGTTTTATTTATACATGGGATAACTACAATAGGGCTGCAACAAACGACTCATTTGATAATCGATGAATCTATCGATTAATGAAACGATTAATCGACTATTCGGACTATTACTGTATGCCTTGCACAATTTCTCAAACGCTCTTATTTAGCCATCAACTTTTAGATTTAGCTTGAGGTTGTTTTAGGCATGTGGAAACTAACAATGAAGACAATCAAGATGAATACTTGATTCAAAAATACATATATTATTAAATTAACTTAACAAATTGTGAACAAAATTAACATTGCTTTTTATTTAAATAAAATAAATAATATTTCACATCAAAAGAAACAACAATGTTTTAACAAATCGTATTAAATAATCTGATGACAGAATTGTAAACAGAATAGCTGAAACTTTAACAAAATAAAGAGTAACTCAGTTTCCTCTAATCATTAACCCATGTTTGTATCATGTAGTTAACTCCGTGTGTTGCTGCTAGCATACATAACACCTGACGTGGAAACGTTACTCGTGGATGGGGCTGCAGAGCTACTAGAAAGACGGTCGAACCCGGTGCATTCCTCCGTCTGAATGTGGAGCACTTTTGATAAATGTTTAGACACATTGCTCGTGTTACCGCCCTTACATGCTAAACACTCTTGGCAAGGAGCATTGTCCACCTCAAGACGGGTAACATTTAACCACACCTTGGAGCGCTTCTCTCCGCCATCTCCTCCGTGTGCTGCTACATGTAGCAGCTGCGTGTGTGTAAACTGCCCCGCCCCCTCGCACACAGACGGGGGAGAGAGATCTCGTCTGGATTGGAAAGATCGAAAATACACCGACCATAGACGCATGTTAGAAACGAGTTGGCGACTCTAAGACTGCGAGATAATATTTGTGTAGCAATAATACATGACCTTTCTCTTTCTCAACTCGCTACTCGGAGGGAAGTCGCTGTCAGCCTTGTGAACACTCCGATAATGCCTCTCCACGTTACCTTTCTTTGGCAGAGCGACGCTTGCTTTACAAATAAGGCAAATAACCTTTGAATATGACATCACAACAAAATATTCTTCCTCCCATTCTGGGTGGAAGTGGTATGTCCTTTAGCTCTTGCTCGGTCCCCGCACTCATTTGTTGTTTGTCTGTTTAACTTAATTTGAGTTTTTCCCGGCACTTGACTGATTTGTATCGCTTTGCATTCTGGGTTAACAGACTGGAAAGCGATAGGTGGCTTTTTCTGTCAATCAAGTAAACTCCTGAATTAAGTGGCAGGGAGGCCAAGGGAGGAGGGATCAAAACCTGTTTTGTCTATTTTAACGGGGCTGGATTTTTTTTTTTTATGAATGACTCGCGATCTACCAGCATTGCCGGTCGACCGCGGTCGACGTACTGGGCACCTCTGCTATAGGGCGTACACGCGGAGCCGTTTGGCCCACCAGAGCGTTGCGTCCGCAGATCTACCCACCTTGGGACCCGTTATCGTTTCTGCGTTTCCCTGTCGGCCTCGTGCGGCCGAACCGTCTATATCAGAGGTGCCCAGTACGTCGACCGGGCAATGTTTCTGTTTTTCTGTATTATTGTGTTGGAGAAGCCTGTGACCTAAGATTTTCATCGACATAACTACTCTGTAGCTATGTTCGTATGACAAATAAAGAACCTTGAACCTTCTATAGGTTTTTGTGTATGTAAATAGCCTGCAAAGGCACAGAACACACTCCGTCCCCCACCCCCCCTGCCCGAAACGCCTCTATTGGGCTCCTTTGTTTACTTCTGTAAGTTAGTGACATAACTATGTCACACACTCAAGCTTCTGTTGGCTAGCGCTCCAACACATGGTACTTGATTGGCTTAGAGGCGGGACATCTCTAAGCGGTTGACCAATCACAACAGAGCCAGCCAGCTAACCAATCAGAGCAGACTGGGCTCTGGTTTCAGACAGAGGGTGAAAAGAGGTGCTGCAGCACAGGCAGTATGAGAACAATAGTAGAGGTAGAGGCACAACATTCTAATAAGAACCTGGAAATGAGTATTCTACAGCCTCTCTAATGTTGCCACTGCTGTTTAAAGAAATTGTTTGGGGAATAGATTCAACTCCATTTATGTTGTGTGCTTATATGGTGGAGAGCCACATTACCACAGACAGAAGGATCAATATGATGCATACAAATGTGTAAACATGTATTTCAACAGCCACTAATGTGAGCCACCCGAGCTGCCCCCCCCAGTCTGGCTATGTGAGAGGATTCAACCATCCATGTGGCTGCATCTGTGTTCCCATCTCAGGGTGAGTACACAACACACCAACACACCGACTTCACTGCAGTCCTGCTCCTCTTGCTGTGTCTGACGTGTTGTTGTGCTTCTTCTTCTAGAGAGCCCAACAAAACCCAGGTGTTCAGCTTCTTCCAGACCGACCTGGGGGGCTTCCTCCCCCGCTCCGTGGTCGACTCGTTCTTCCCCTCCAGCATGGCCGAGTTCTACAGCAACCTGGCCAAGGCCGTTAAGTCCCTGAAGGACCTTTGACCCCGAGAAATGAGAGATCTCCGTCACCCCGCTGCCGGTCAGACCCACGGTCCCTTGGTTTTAAACAGTCCAAACTCTAAAGCAATCAGCACACTGAGATTAATAATCGCTAAATTGATCCACAATTTATGTTTAATGTACATTCCTTGATTCCTGTGTCACTGCAGGAGTAAATCAACAGTCAGTCCCTCTTGTTGAAAGCAGTTTAGACTTAAAAAAAAATCCCATAGAAGGAGGGCTTCCAGCTCTCATGTGGAAAGATTTCCTCCACTCTAATCAACGAAATAGATATCTATATTTCCATGTGCTAAAAGTCCAGAACATCTTTACTTTGCAGTGAGATACTCGACATTTCCTCTTGATATAATGATCATACTTGAGTGTGTACAGTAAACATGCATGTTGCATGGAACTTTTTTACCCTATGCTGGTATCAGGTTGTTTGTTTGGAGTATTGACTCATACCTCATGTTTAGTTCTTTGTGTTGTACTTGAACTGCCATTTGCCCATCTCCAGCTCACCTGTACACCCTGAATATGTAGATGGATGAAGTCAATACTGCCTCTTAAAACACTGAAGCACAGGCGGGATGGCAAAGGTGGCCTTTAACACGAAGGCAGCTTTGATTTCTGTCTGAAACAACGCCAGCTTCTACATATGATGTGTTCTGCCCTGCAGAAAAGTGTCTTCCTTGTTTCCATCAAGAACATTTCCCCTTTCTTTTCTTCATGTCTAATCAAACTCTTCATGACGTTCAGATCCATAGCAGCTGCCTGCAGTTTGTTAGGAAGCATTTGAAGCAGCTGTCTGACTGGCTGGGTGCTCACAAAGACAACACTAATCCTTACAGCTGCATACGATGAAACACTGTGGTGAAATGAGTTCACTCGTGGTGTTAGTTACTGCACTAAAGGCTGATATTTTCAAGACATTCGGCAGCTTGTAATGTAAAAGTAAGTACTGCAAAGACACGGTTTATGATCTCTAACGGTTCCAATGTGTAATTAGAGCAATACAAGGAGTCAAGACTGTTTTACTGGAGACACTGTAAAAGATGCAAAAATGCACCACAAGATGTCTCTGTGTAATGTGTCTTAAAAAAACAGGACAGAGTACATTAGAACTCTTGGAAAACAACAATCTTTTAAGTTATGTTTAAAGACTGTTGGGGGGCGTCTGACCTATGGTAAAGTAGTGTGAAGTGTTTTTATTACTGTGACTCCTTAGCAAACATGTGTACAGAACATGAGGTAAGTCTTATCTACAGAGGCACCTCAGTCTTATTCATATTTCATCAGGAGCTCCTGAACTGTGATGTTACCTCATCCAGCCACACTGACTCAACAACAACCTTCCATCATCTGACTTTATGTTGCATTGTACATATTCAGGATGTGTTTGTAATCTTGACTGAATCTGAACACTTTCTCCACCGCTGCTTTGGTAATGATCAGATAGGAAAGCCAGAATAATTCCTACTTCTTCTCTTCAAACACCAATCTGAGATAGGCTCTTTCCAAACACAAGCTCCAGACACAATGCAGAAGAACGCAAAGCTTTGAAAAGGCACAGGACATTAAAACACTAAAAGATGCTCATCCTATAAACTGAACATGTTTAATATGAAGTTCCAGTGAGAGTGAAGGCTGGTTGCATGATGGTGTGAGTCCAGCTCCCCCCCCCCACCCCACTGTCTACAACACGCTCAATGGGGGAAAGAAATGGGAAATGTGCTTGTGGAACATGAAGAAGTGGGATTGTATATAATTATAGTATTTTCACTTCTCTCATTCTTATTTAAGACTTTAGGACACATGTAATTCCTGGCCAGAGGCCCGTCTATATTCCTCTCACGATGTCATGCTCTGTAAGACTCACCTTCAGGTAGACCCTCACCCTTCTGTACATGCATACTTTATAACTTAATGTAAAAGCTGCCATTTATTTACTTGATAATGATTTATGATGTAAGATATTCCAATTGATCAGGTACATTTGTACTGTACCTCATTCCTCATGGGCTTACCCTTCACTTCATTCCCTCTGTGTTAAGGCTCAATGAAAACGTATGGATGTGATCTGTGTGGTGAAGGGGGGGTCCACTTTCTCTGCAGCCTGGGTGTGTATAAGCCATATAGTGTGGCACGTTGTAACTAGTCTTTTAATATTCCTTTCAAAGCGTTTGACCATGTTATCTGTAACATCTTCTGACCTCACAGCGTAACCAATATTCTTTATTACATTGCACCTGTTCCAAGTCCTCTGTGCTTACGGGTGGGTGGAAGGCATTTGCGGTTTTAACTGCATCCAGCAGGGTTTTATTTATTTGTTGTCATATGATCTCAATGTACATACAGGTAGCTGCTGCAGTAGAATTAACCCAGCATTCCATGAGGAAGTTAAGCAGAGGAGCACTTCATGCTGGCGTTTAGCGCAAATCAACCCAGAACCATCCTCTGACTTCCTGACCCGTCTCTGACATGTGACCTGATCTGAGGCCTCTGCTGTTAGACCCACTTTTATTACACTGACTATTAATACGTGTTCTCTTTCTCTCTTCTTGGAGCTACACTCCTACAGGATGAATTGGCGGACTTCTCAACAAAAATGATTCAATAATGCTCAGGTTAAATGGGCTATGATCAATATTTATTACAATATGCACTGAAAAAACTGAAATGTTGACTTTAATTAAATGTGTTGTCAATATATTTTACATAACTGTCTTAGGTTAGTTGGAAGCAATATTAAGTTTAAATAAATAATATTAGGTTCAACTTAATACTATTGCTTTCAACTAATCTAATACAGTTATGTGAGGTTAGTTAACATAAGTCAATGTGTGAGTTTTTTCAGTGTGGAAGGGCGATAATGTGATGCAGCTTTGCAGCTCGCTGTAGCTCCACAGAGCTTTGTGGTCGATGGGACGTTGCCCAACACTCTAGGGCAAAGGGGAGTAACAAAAGTTTAAATAACCAGGGGGAAAAAAGACTTGTCGAACCCAAAGATGTTGTTTAATAAACTCAAAAACAAACTAAAGACAACTTTCTATAAAAGAAAGTGACAAAAGTAAACAATACAAAAAGGTAGAATGGAGCACATCTCTAACACTCGCCATACTTACTCTGACCATAAACAACACATCAAGTCCAAAAGACTTCCGTGTTTGATAACCAGATACAGAAAGCCTGTTGATACCAGATGGAGATAGTGTCTCTGTTTGGACTGCCACCAAAAATGATGAACCATCTGCCAAATAACCAGCAGCTTTTTCACGACTAAACATATTTTCAGCCAACTGACTCCTCTGGCAACAACTTTCTATCTCATCATTTCCATTATTTTATTTCTCTGTAAAAATAAAGGTGCTGGAGATGGTGAGCTCCTGCAGGCAGCAGCAGGTTTATCTGACCTCTGTGAACTTTGACCAATCTCACTGTTTCCAGGGAGACACGCCGTTCAAAGAGCATGTAAACAGGCAGAAGCGTTTCCAGTTGAACCCTTTAAATATCCCATTGTGGCTGTGATGACCAATGAGACCAGATTCCCAAAGTAAATGTGTTCTGTGATGACATTCAGAGACCAACCCAGAGTTCCCTGTGTGGCAGAGCAGATGTTAAATGATTCATGTCAGGTGGTTTTCATTGACTCATCTTACCATGTATAAACGTCTATCAGATCACATGAACCCGCTATCTCGTACTGTTCTGCACCCAGTGACTTCTGTATTTCACCAGCATTAAAATGATTAATAAGAACATTTTGTTTTCCGTTTCTTTACTTAAGAATTATGCATTCATTATATATCATATATATATATCATAAAAAATAACTGACTGATCAAATTGTTCCATGGCATGATCAGAATTTAAAGGACACCTATTATACTATTTTTCAACAGTATATTATAGTTATATATACAAAACATGTCTCTGAAGTATTTGATTGAAACGCCAAACAGATCATAGCATCCCATAAACCCCTCTGTTTCAGCCCTGTTTCAAAAGTGCAGATTCTGTGTGTAGCTTTAAATGCTAATGAGTTGCTGCTGGCCACGCCCCTCTGAGAGATGATTGGTTAATTAAAAAAAACTCTGTAGACAGAGGGCACACATGTTTATGTATAAAATACATGAAAAAGTGGATTATGCATAAAAAGGTGACCTTTAAACACAAATCACAAGTGAGTTGTGTTTGACAGAAAGCTGAAGCAGGAGGTCAAATTCAAAGCACATTCTGTACGTTCTGCTGAGAAAAAGATATCTTAACTCTAATATATATTATTCTCCTTGTCTACAGTCCTGTTTCTCGTTTAAAGGCCCGGACACACCAAGCCAATTTTGTCCGTCGGTGGGCGTCAGGCCGACGATGAGCGTCGACACGCCCTACTCAGATTGGTGTGTCCCGCACCGTCTTGTCTTTCCAGCCGTGCCGACGTCTTTTCGGCCAAAAATCTGCATGAGAAGCGAAACGGAAGTGAGGGACCCAAACAAACTATTAAGAAGGCAAATCTGAGATTTCATTTAACTCCAGCTCTCGACACAGGTTCGGGAAAGCCCCGTGAGCTTCTCGCTGTAGAGTGAAAATGGAACGCACACGATATTTGTTGTTTGTTTATATCACGCAGTCTGTTCTTCTTCTCTCAGTTATCACGCAGTGTGTCTTCGGGTTGTTGCCTCTTTTGAATGACGCATACACACTACCGCCGCCTGCTGGTAAGGAGAGTTATTGCCACTCACGCATGCACAGTTTGTACGTGCTTCTTGGCCGTCAGCTGAAGTCTTTGCGGTGTGTTCCGGTGCGACACATGGCCAAAATGCAGAGACGCGAGGCGACGCAACAGTCGGGGTCCGTCTGTGTCAGTTATTTGGTGTCAGCTTGGTGTGTTAACAACCAACCTTAATAACAGCACCACTGTTGTTGATTGCTGTGTACATCTTTTTACCTTCTGCAGGTCTTCCCTTCTCCCTTCAGGTCTTCTGAGGTCACCTGCTTCACATTAGCCATAATCAGTCCTTCATGATGTGTTTAGAGACTCACATGCTCTGTTTGTAGCTGCCTGTTTTATTCTGCTTGGTACACATTTCTTCTGTGGTATGACATGTGTGTGGCCTAATTTATTAGGAACTTTCACTGCCTTAGTTTTACATAGCCCAAGATTTGGCAAATGTATTCTGGTAATACAAAACATACAACAATTTGAGATACTCAACACACTAATAACTTTGTATCCTCTTAAATGACTTCATTTGTGTGTTGAAATGAAACACTTTGAACATGTTGAAACATTCCTACATTATATTGAAGAGATGTCCTGAAAAGTGAAAAGGTATATCCAGAGCCGGCCCGACCCATTAAGCGGCATAAGCTGCCGCTTAGGGCGCTGCAGCCACTAAGGGGCCCCCTAGCAACAAAACGAAAAATGAAAACAAAACAAAAATCTCAGTACACCATCGCCGTAATAAGTATGTTTAATTAATTGTGTTAATATGCCTAGATTGCCTACTCTCAAAGTCATGTATTATATTATTGAGTCAATAATATAATACATTAACCGTGCTTTACCTGAACCTCATCATGACACTAGAGAGGACGGTAGGATCGTAATTTCCCGTGTTCAGTGAATGCAACAGAGGCAAGACACCAGACCAACCTGAGAGTTGAATGGAAATAAACATCTGTCTTATTGGCTGACAGGTACCTATCCTGTGAGCTGTGACAATGTTTAAAATAAACTGTCAGTCGGACTCAGAGTTTTTGAAGATGGACATAAGAACATTTTTTCTTAAAAAATGCGACAATTCTCAAGTGGTGGCTCACACAACAACCCCAGAGCCACCACCTGAGCCAGGTGAACAAGGTATGTAAATGTCAGTAAACTTCCAAGTTATGTGAACATGTAAGCAAAGCATAAATTACAGCTACGTTGACGTTACTTTGAATCGCGAGGTAAGCTAAACCGTTAGCAAGTAGCTATAGCTAGCCAGATATATTAAATAAACACTTTGTCATACAATCTAAATGTAATGTTTTTTAGCGTTACCTGGTGATTTCAAAGAAAGCTCTCTGGGAAATGTTGACTTACTGTTCGACATGAAGCTAGAAGTTACCTTACAGTACACAGTTGATCCGGAGACCTGTCAGTGAAAGTGTTTCATAGTTAGCTTAGCTAAGCATCAACCTAGCACTGAAATATATGGATGTTATGTGACAGTATTTCTGAGAAAAAGTCAGCTGAAATGGTGGCATAGTTGCCACTGCTTTACGTGTCGACAGCATGTTTGAACATATTTGCAGCAGTAAATGTGGCTGTTTGGCTTTGGTTCTTCTGAATGATATTCCTATTGACAGCTAGTTTCTATGTGAACATTAATAGATGGACATCAGCCAGAGAGAATAAATGAAAAACAGTTATGAAATACTATATGACAAAACAAGAATACAGTTTAAGTGATTTGTAAAATATCCATAAAGAAAAATCTGTTTACAGTTCTGTTTCATATGGGTGTTGAGATGTATCCATAGATCTCTTAATGTTGCTCTCAAAGTGCACCAGATTGATGCTTTTAACTTCAATATTTAAAAACGAATCTTCCCGGGAGAGCATGACCACGGACCCCCCTAGGGGAGGTGAGGACCCCCTTAGAGGAGGTGAGGACCCCCCTAGAGGAGGTTAGGTCCACGGTGTCTACATGCTTATTTATACAATATGTGTGCTTATGCTAACATTATAAGACAAAAGTTGGTTCCGTGTTGTGTGTAGTGAGAACGCGCTAGAGTGAGGGGGGCCCCCAAGCCAAAGCTCGCTTAGGGCCCCCAAAAGTCTAGGGCCGGGCCGGCCCTGGCCACCTCTCTGTCTGAAATCAAAACTGCATTTCATCTGTTAAACATACAAATAAATGTAATGGGCCAGTAACACACCGTGGAGGAAGTGAAGCTGCACTGTGTCTGATCGGTCAGTGAAGAGCATCGGAGGCTAATAGCAGCAGACTAGTGTTTCTCTCAAGGTGTCATTATTCATCCATCATTGCATTTTTCATATTAATATCTCTAGTTACATCCAAGCGGCAAACTCTGGGGAAGAGCCGGGACGCCAATACGGAAGTGCCACACACTGCAGTTCATATATTGGCCGATAGGGACTGGCTGCAGAAAGGAGCAATTTCCATAGACCCCCATGTTAAAATGCCCAACTTTACAGCAGAAAAAAACATGTTTCTACCCATGGATGCAATACATATTATTATGAATATAGTTAGGTTCCACCTTCATGATTATGGATCTGTGAGTGAATTGTTTTCTAACACGACCCTTTTATTTATATTAGGTCTTAAAGTTTTTGCATAAATTAGGGCGTGGTCACATTGAGTGACGGCTCTGTCAAGTGACTGCTGCTGCTAGCTTCTTGTCTCTCTGCTAGATGCTCCGTGAAGCTACTGGGACTCTGCCTGCTCAGCTCATCCAGGGAACACAACTTGACCCCGGCCGTGGTTGTTTGTTCTTCATGCTTATATATCGGACTATTCTTTCACACACACATACGGGTTTTGAGCCGAGGGCGACACCGTACTTCCGGTATCCGCCATTTCACACGAGGTGCAAGCAGAATATCATAGTCTATTGCCTTAATCAATATAGTCAACTCTAAAATACCACATGTGAAGATAAACTTCTGTTTTTGCAATGTTGAGGTAGAATGAAGGAGTCTGGAACGTCGTTTAGCCAAAGCACTGAGAGTTTTATTGATCACAGTACATTAATACGGCCGGGGAGATCACTTAGTTTCACACTGTCCCGTGCTCCACCATCATGATCTCTGCTCCAAAAGCCACAAAACATCTAGCACCACGAGAAGAGGCGGGCCGACAGAAACCCGCGTTTACCTAATCAATAGCAAATGGGAGACAATACTCTACTTGTCTCAAGGAAATGCAGACAAGCCTGAAACCTTCCCCCCACAGGATATGGGAGAAGCGTTTGACCTGTGACCTCAACTTACAGAGGAGTCTTTGACTGATACTACTACAAACACATGTTTGCAGTATCACAGAATCTAAGAAACTATAGGAAACTCTATAAACATATCAGATTAAAATATTCTCTTACAGATTCACTCTTTTTATCAATCTATTGATAACCAATTAACATTAGTCTAAGAATATTTCAGTCAATACTTAAAATCAATAAGCGTCTTCAGAGTTGGGTGGGCTCAGATACATTCATTACATTAAAAGTAGAACAAGATTGAAAACACTTCAATCACCTTGATTGAACACAGTCAATCATAATAAAAATCATCTCTCTTCAGTGCTTGGCATCTTTTGTCAAAAGGCACAATAATAAACACATGGGATACAAAATATTACAGCAAAATATATGTTTCAAAAATAAGATCTTTTATCATTTATCACTCAGTTAATCTCATTCATCAAACACAAATTCTAAATCAGCTTACATCTCAAAGATTTACTTTAAGGCAATTACTTATTAAAAACACAATTAGAATTTAGGATTTATAATAAATCCAATTGAGGTATAAATCAGAATCATGAGAGATCCAGCTAAGGTTCCTAGTTAAGGTATAAATTCACAGTGATGAATCGATCAATCTGTAATCTGTAAAGTTACAGTGTCCTCAATCTTTAACATTACTTTACGTTGACTTCATTACGCTTTATTCAAGAGTAAGGCATGATATTTAATTAATTACATTACTTCAACTATCAATCATTATGTCATTTCAAAATCTGAAGGGAAAACT